TCAACGGCGTCGGGCCCTACAAAGAAGTAGAAAAGGACGAGAGTCTGCGTAGGAGCAGGAAACGGGAGAAAAGGGAGCGCGACAGGGAGAAGAAAAAGAGGGCTGCTGCAAAGCTGCTCGACAAGAAGCCGACGGCCGAGTCCACCACCAGCTCCACCCCCGCCCTCCCCGTGCCACCAGCACCCACCCAGTCCGCCAGTGCCCCTCTCATTCAGCCCTCTTCCTTTTGGCGCGCTCGTGGCACCAGCCATCGCCCTACTATACACATCGCCACGATGCAACGATCTGTCTCGGTTACGCCTCCCCCTATGGCTTCGTCTCCACGGTCTACCCCGGGCCCATCTGACTGGTCGACGACGTCTCGAACATCCTCGAAACGTCCCCGCACCCCCGACGACGACTCATACGCCACAGAACCCGCAGTCGCCACGTCACCGCCCCCGCCAGCACCAGCCTACAGGAAGAAGCGAGTTGCTGTCAAAAAGGGTTGGAAGGGTTGGGTCGAGGGCTCGCCACCGCCATCCGAGAAGTTGATCAACTTGGATGCTGTTCCTATACTGCAAGAGAGGCGCACTCGCAGCGGGAAGAGCTTTGACGCTATCGGGGTCGGCAAGGACAGCTGGGTTTAGACCTGTAAGTAACCACATCCTTTCGATGGATCGGTAGAAAATACTGGTTAATCCGTAGGTAACACCAGATCTCCCTTTGAATGCTGGCAACTACCGCCATCTCTTCGCCGGCCAACGGCCCTTGCTTGATTGAAAAAATAATAATGTTTCCTCCGATTTCATAACATGCCTCGCTGTTTGCTGTCCTGCTTACTGTACAACATGCACCGCACCTCGGATCGCCACACCCGTCAACCAGCACCCGTATCTTACTCGTCATTTCTTTTGGCTTGGTTTCGTATATTTTCTTTATTAGTGTCACTGTAGGCTGCACGTTTACTTATCGGTTTCTGTTGCTACAAGTATTCCCGGCATCACAATGATATCTCGCTAGGCATAGACAGAATACAAACTGTTTTCTATTGGAATACTATGATCCCTTGCTCCAAGTTTTCATGCATGCCGTGTGAATTGGTTGACGCCATCGAAACAGTATCCTCCGCCGATTAGGTGGATGATCTTCAGTCCCATGAACACGTCCAGACTGTCGTTGACTCTCCCCTTGCCCGTGGTATGTATCATTGTATGTGAAAGGCGCGGCAGCCGAACGGAGGCAATGATTTGAATTAGACTTAAACAGAAGCAAACAACGTCTTCCCAATATCTAATTCGGTTCCATTATTGTAAAATTCCACCACCCAGTCACATCTTGCCGCCGTTCTCTCCATTCTACACCTGTGGCAAAGTGAGAACTTGATCCTTCAACTCCAAACGGACCTTACTATCGGCAACTACCCGTCTCGTGTTGATTTGTTTGTTCCACACCCGTCATTTTATGCATAAATTCATTTACCGCGTATTCCCTTCTCAGGAAATCCGTGCCATTTTGGCTCAACATGTTGTCTTTCATTCCTTTCCCTGTTCTGCCAGCTCCGCCATCATGGTTCCCGGGTCACATGAACCGGTTCACGAAGCAGTTGCCTGCACTCTTATCACGTACAGACGTCGTGCTCGAGCTCAGAGATGCCCGACTGCCGCTCACCAGTATCAACCATAATCTCGAGAGTGAGTCCAAAGTGCTTGTTCTTACCCCCCTCTGCCCTTCAGTTGGGCGTTATCTCCACCGTCGACTCCAAGAAATGGACATTTTATCAAATGTTCAACGATCCTCTCACGCTGCCATACCTAACCTAGGCCAGCCTATCAGTTGGCTGGGCGCAGCCTTGGGATCCGAGGCCGCCCTTGGCCGTCACGTTTTGGGGTGGGTGACTAATCACTCTTTCGGCAGGGGCGATAAGAAAATGGAGGGCAGAACGGGGTCGAGACGCTTACATGACAACATCAGCGTCAGCTGGCCCCACATCCCCAACGATACCAGGGTATGGAAGCACAATATGTGAGCGGATAGTCATTCTAAATAAACACGATCTGGTCTCTGAATGGGGTGTGGAGGTCCGTCCCGTTTGCTTCCGCTAATCTTCTCTGGGCCTAATATAGTAACAGCCTTTCCGCAAGGCCATGGCAGCTCGTTTCCCGGATCAGATAGTCCATTTCGCATCATGCAATAAACCCCGGGATATCAAAACCCTGAGCGAGTTGCTCGTAAGTATGTCGCTTTCCCATGTAGGCGCCTTGCGACATGTACTCAGCGACTGCGAATGATGTCATTTTCACGTCCGTGTGTAGACATAGCCAAGACCAGTCCACACGCAACTGAAATGAACGTGCTTGTCGTTGGCATGCCCAACGTTGGAAAATCCACGTTGCTAAATTCTCTTCGGAGTTTTGGGATCATCGGTCGTACGTCGTATCCTATGCTTCTCTGCATTTTTTCTAGGACCTGCCATTTTCGACTGAATTCTCTTGAAATTTCTTCCCAGGGACCGCCAAGGCGTTGCAAACATCTGCACAACCAGGCCATACACGTACTTTATCCACTCGGTTGAAGATATCAGAAAATCCATTAATTTATTCCTACGACTCTCCCGGAGTTATGCTTCCGTTCCTTGGCAAAGGGGAGCTTAGTGCCGAACGAGGTGTTAAGCTTGCATTAATCGGTAAGTAAAAGGAGCCGCAGACACCCAAACCAATTATTAAAAATAGTATAGCTGGCATCAAGGAGAGCTTGTACGACGTAGAAGCTCTCGTCAATTATTTGCTGTACAGATTGAACATTCTAGACCCAGTCTGTGAGTGGTCTGCCTTATCCTTGTCTATTTTTGTTTCTCGACGCTGGCGCGTGTTTTTTCACTTACTTACCATTACTCAGCGCCGGCATATCTCAACATCCTACCGGAAGGTTCAGAGCCAACGGCTGATGTGTACGTCTTCCTTGAACAGTTGGCGGCGCGGCTTGGCATGCGAGTCCGAGGCGGCGACGTGGACACTGCGCGGGCCGCCAAATGGTTCGTCGAATGGTGGCGGCGCGAGGGCAGCTTGATTTCCGCCTCCGCACCACGGTCGATCGGGAGGCGTGTCCCGCGTCTATCGCAGGGTGCTCCACTAGGTGGTTCAGATGATGCGACACACCCCTCGGTACCCATCCGTCGTGGGTGGGGATTCGACTTTGAATGGACCGTCGACGCTGCGTCATCCGACTCGGAGGGCAAGGAGAACGTGGAGGAAAAGATGGGAGCGTGTATCGATGCATATATGAGAATGGCGGAGGTGCAGGAAGAGTTAGGTGGAGATGTGAGTCAGACGCAGGAGAAGAAGCGGGCCTGGGAGGAAAAGCTGGCCAAGAGAGCTGCGAAGAGCAGAGCAAGGGTGTCACGCAAGAGTGGGTGATGGGAGATGGGATTAGAGTGGGGCGGGGAACGAGAGAGGGGGCTCAGGATTCCATGTGGGATTTGGGCGTCTGGGTATGTCGCATGTGACTCTTTTACGAGATAATGATGGTCTCTGCCGCTTTGTTGATCGGTCTGCTGGACTGGGCGACCCGTGGCTGGGTGGATGGCTGGCAAGCGTTACCGGGGACCTACGACGCTGTGCCAGGCAAAGTCCGAGAACTTAGTAGGTGGGCGGGAAGAACGCACCTCCGCCGGTTTCTCAGCTGATGGCGAAAGTCAAATTCTAACGGCCGTTTTAAAGATCTGATGCCATTTGGCCCGATACGGAAAAATCGCATGAACACCCTTTGGACACATACTGGGTATCTTCGTGAACGGGCCCCAAAGTACTGCGACGGTCGTCTTCCATGCTGATCGAACGCATGGTCCGTCAGGCGTGTTCTCTGCATGGAACTTCGTCGCAAGGTTCGTCTCGTCTTCCCATGATCACGTTGCGGACAAATTCTCTGATGAAAGCGACGGTCACATCACGTCCTATTTGTGAGTGGTACGCGAGAATGAGAATTCGACCTCACTGGCCAGATAGTTGACCGCAGGAAAAATGGATAGAAGAAGACACAAGTCACTACGTGACACTCGGAGTTGCCCCCGGTTCCCATGTGAGGGTCGCATTGGCACATCGTGTTGTGCCTTCTCCCCCGTCTAAACGATTGATATTTAATTCTAACCGACGACGTCCGCAGGTCTAGCTCACACGGCACACAGGGGACACCATGATATCGGCAACGGATGAGATGCAGCTGTCGCCTCGTGTCTTGACCGTCGATACGCGTGTCCCTCAGACTCCTTGGTCCGTTTGTGGACGTTCTTGTTGACATGTGAAGAGCATACTTGACGGTCGGAAATCTGACTGTCATGGCATGACACCGAGTTGCATCGGGCCCTCGTGCTCTCCTAGTCGTTCAAAAAAAAACACTGTGTCATCGAGATTGGCTTCAACGCCCTGCTCCATTCACTATGCCATTCACTCCATGTCTCTCGCATCGATCCGCATTGCAGTGCTCATCTTGGAGGGTACTGTTCGCCTGACGTCACTTTTCACGGTGGGAATCATTGAGACAGCTCACCGTTGTCCCTTGTTGTCTTGGCCTCTTTGGACGGACCCCGGGAGACCGGCGGGGCCACGCTTTGGCGCCAGGTTGCGTTCCCTGTTGGTCGACATCTGGCGTATTCGATCGGATTCCCGGGTAGTTTCGTCTGCTTTTAGACGGTCGTCCGTCGACACGACACGGTGCTCGATTCAACGTATTCGATGGGTTCAAAACCGAGTTGGGAGCGACACCCACTGCCAAGTGACATTGAAGTGACTCGCATGGACACACCAGCCCCTCGGGGGCCCCCCGACTGAACAAGGCGACCGAGCTCCCATACGTGACATTATGTACTTATCTTGCCAGTCGCTCCCAAAAAAGTTTGTGTATCGTGGGTCTGGATCGACAAAGATCGACTTTCGCTATTATCATGCAAACAAAAAAAGAACAGACAAACCGGGCATGCCAGTGAAGATGATGTGTCGATGAACGACAACAAAAATAGAACAAACGGGCCTTGCTGGGAATCGAACCCAGGCCACTTGCAGTTTCCTCAGATTCGAACGAACTGCCCAAAGCAAGTATCGTACCTCTAGACTACAAGGCCAGACAAACAGGGGTCATACAATGACATCCACAAGCCCGAGTGTCCTTAATTCCGACCAATGAATATAGGCTAAAGGTACTGTTGCTATAATCATGTCTAAATATCAGCAGCGTTGGGCCAGGCCACAGTAAGCTATCAGAAGGGATACAACAATATTATTGGAAAAGTGTGATTAAGGGAGTGGCATAGCGAAGGCTTAGGCTCGAAACGATGTTTGG